GATAAATTTATTGAGTGGTCAATGTGGATTTACGTGTCCCCTCTCTAGAAATAAAATGCAATTTCTCCTTAAAAATAATAAAATATCTCGTTTCACAGAATTTCTCCTAAACCTTGTGGGTGAAAATTAATTTCAATTCAAGTTCTTTGCCATTATCACTCCATTTTCTCTCTTTCAATTACTGCAAACCAAACAGCTTTGAGAAGCACAAACATTGATATCCTATATTGATCTTAAAATATCTAAAATAGATATAACTAGGTAAAATGTTGAAAATATGACATAATGGAAGAAAACTTTAGTAACTTCTAAAATTAAAGAGTTTTACATAATTCACACAAGAAAGAAAACAAAAGTGGAAATAATGTGATTGCAGACCATCATGAATGATATGTGCAATTCATGTCATAACACTTTCGATTTTATCGTAATAGTTAATTCAATATCCTAGTTTCCTCTTAGTCCTCAATTGCTTTATTTTAATTGTCAAGGCCAACAATATCATGTGTTATTTTGATTATGTTTGGAAAATTTTGTATATTTCTTGATCATCTATAGTAAATAGAATGGCTTTGTTTTATAGATGACTTGGTTAATAGGGTTATCTGTCAAGGACAGTTTTTATATTTTATTCTAGCTACTCAATTTTAGCAATTACTGTTATGAGGGTGTTTGGACTACTTAAAAGCACGACTCTTAATGTTCACTCGATTTTTGTTGAGTTTATTATTGAGTTATCTTAAGGTTTTAGAGGAGGATTCCCTATTCTTAAGGAATAATAAAAGGGGAAAGGTGTTTTTAGGGGAGTCCAGACTCCGCCCCATCGACACCAAGCTCCAAAAGACTTCCCAGGCAATTGTCCTGGGAGGAGACGGCAATATCTGCTGTTGGGGGTTTCAACTGCAACAGTAATAGGAAGCACTCACAGGGATCCAGCAAAGGGTGCAGTGGTTCTAGCTCCTATTGGGAAGTTTTTTTAAGTAAAAACCCGCTTAATGGATATTTAGGCTTTCTTCTTACTAGAAGAATTGAAGTTTGGGCAATAGGAGGGCAATCTAGATTGGCAAAAGCTAGTTGATGGTATGTTGCGGTTTACAGGCAATTAGTAAATCTGTTGTGAACGTTCAGAATCCAGTGACCACTTCCCGATCATTCCATGTTTCTAATCAGATTTTCTATTGTACTATTCTTATAAGTATTTTGTTTCTAAATTTCTTTATTTAATCCACGTTTTTTCTTATTGGCTTCCAGCCAGCTTTGCGTTGGTTTTCCTCTCTTATAAGAGGAGGTGCTGACAGTCGAGAAGCAAAGTAGGGAGGACTTATCATTGGAAAAATTTTCAGTTAGCTCCTTTGGATCGAAAATCATATGATAATAAAAGACAACTTAAGATATTCTCATTTCCTGAAAAATGAAAACTAAGTGGGATCAATTTATGTTGAACACATTTGAGATTTCGAGCCACACATTTGATTTAGCAAAAATTGTATTCTTGCAAATTATCAATCGATGTAATAGAGGTCTTTGACCTTAATTTATTAGAATTCAATGAAAATATTTCACTCAATAGGATACATGGAGAAAAAGGATTTATGTAGCCGGCCCTACATAGTAGGACAAAGGCTTATTATTGTTGTTGTTGTTGTTGATTTCATAGAAGTACTAAGGCCATGTAATAACAAATATGCATTATTATTGCGTGCAAAGAAATTTATAGTGGTAGAGTGAGATTAACATCTTAGCTTTATAACAAATCACAAATAAAAAAATAGTTTTTAAGAAGAAACACGAGAGTTTCACATGAAAAACCCAAAAGGAAAAATCATAGAGCTTGGCTTAGTTGAAATAATTTTATTAATGTTAGGTATAACATTGATGCCCTTGCTTGTAATTGAGTCTTAGATACATTGTAGTAAACACGACTTACAAAAAATAAACTTCATGATTTAAGCTAGAGGAGAATGGAAGATTTGGAGTTGTCTTCAAGAAATTACTTGAGAAATGCTCGATCTTCTTTCTTTAAAAAAGGGGATTAAAAGACCTAGAAATTCGATATCTTAATATATATGGGATGCTTCCAACCAATAAGCAACAACATGCATCAATATTGTTGACAAAAACAACAACGAGGTCTAGGGGCGTTGACATTGGTGTCAATGGCTACATCAACTTGATACGAGATGGCATACATCAACAGTTTGCATCAACGTAAAGAAATGACGTACATAAATGGTGTGTATCAGCTTGATAAGCTATGTCATGCATCAATTGCGTGCATTGGCTTTAGAGGTGATGGGAAGCATCAGGGGCATGCACCAACATTATAAGTGATGGCGGCAATGATGTTGGAAGGCATTGGCTTTGGTGTTGATGATCAACAAAGTTGATGGGTGACGTTGGATAGATGACCTAGGCAAAAGACGTTAGTCAAGGAAGCATGGTTGGTGACAGAGATCGAGAAGTCACAATTAAGTGATAGTGATTAGGCAACCAAGCAATGAAGATTAAAATGTCTTAGATGGGTGAATGGGCTTAGGCAACTATAGCTAAGTAAAGGAGGTTAAGCAGCTACGGTTAACCGATTGTGGTCGCATGACAAATGTCAGAGGACCCTAATCTAGAGATATAAATTTAAAAGTTATAGACGAGAAACTATTGTCAAGCACTTGTAACTGGGTGCCAGAGCTTAAACAGTTGCAATTAGGCAACATAAGTTGGGAGACCATAACCTAGCTATGAAAGTTGAGCAACTATAGATGTGAGATCATGTCCAGGCAATCATAGTAAGGTGATGGAGGTTGGGCAGCTATAATCAAGGCGACCGCAATCTAGCGACAAATATCAAGAAACCAAAGTTTGTCGGTGGAGGTCAGAAAGTTGTAGACAAGCAACTATTGTCAAACAAGTGTAAATGGGCACCAAAGGTTATGAATTGTAGTTGGGCGATAGAAGTCAAGGGACTAAAATCTTGCAACAGAGGTCAAAAAAGTGTAGATAAGAGACTACGATTGAACAACTATACCTTGACGACAACAATCATGCAGCTTTAGTCAGATGACTACAATTATGGCGATGGAGGTTGGATGATTGTTATCAAGAGACGAACAAATAGCAATGATCCTACAATAGTGGACGGGTCTGATAACGGCGATTGGTCAATTGGAGTCGGGCAATTAAGGTCTTACAGTAATGGTCAGATGGTGGTGACACAGCAATGGCAGACAGGTGGCAGCATTTTAATGGCAGTGGTTGAATGGAAACAGTCTAATGATAGTGGACAAAAGATAGTGTTCCAAGGAAAGTGATCAAGCAGCAATGACTTGATGACACCAGGCATATGACCAAGGTACAAAAATAGAGGATGAACAACAACAATTCAATGATAGTGGTGGGAAGGCGACAATCTAATGAAGTTGGATCGCCTGCAAAGGTGATTGGTTACAACAATAGACCGACAATGTCAACAAGATGGTGACATTTACGACAATCCAAGGGGCAATAATGACGCAATAGTGATGAATGAGTGGAGCTCAAGAATAATTAAGGTCTCGGAGATCACTTGAATCTCCCCCTCCCGTCCAGGTCCTCCCATCCTCGAGTGAAAAATGGGAGCTTATTTAATGATTTTAGAATTGGCATTCTCAAAAAATACCAATAATATCTAGAACAATTCATCAGATGGTTGAGGGTGATTCCCTTAATTGTATAGTGTTCTTTAAGTGTTTAAATGTTCTAAAGAAGTTTAAATTAAGTGACATTAGGCTCATTTGATTGGTCTTATCAAAATGCTCGATTTGACAAGCTTGCGAGATTTGGAGATCAGGATGCCCTCCAATTAATGTGACAAAATCTCCTATTATGCTTTAATTGCTTTATCCGAGCCCCATTTTTGTCTTCAAATCGGGTCACTTTCGGAGTATGTTCGCCTTGTCGATAAGTTCATTTGGATTATAAATTTAATAGAAAAATAAAGTTTGGATGATACTAAATTATGGAAAACTAGTAAACTTCAAATGTATTGAGATTCGTGTCTGATGAAGATGATTATTTGAAAATATGTACCAATTATAATGAACATCATGATGCTTTGAATCATTTCTTCTTGCTAGTTATGTCAAAGACTTTTTCCCCTCCATCCTATTCTTGGTTCAATCTTTCTCTTCCTCAATGCCTTCGAGCTTTTGCAAGTATTCATTCGCAACATGCTCCATCAATTTTGTTATTAGAGCAATTGATTTTGCACCTAGAGTAGATTACCAGCTAACCATCATGGATTGTTTACATTTCATGTGTTAGTTTATTTGCACTCCCTAGCTATCTTTTAATTATGAAAGGCAGTAACATTGTGTCACTTTCGGATATGCATGGATCAAACCTATAAATAGAGCTCCAGGGCCATATAATATTGATGATATTTGGGAATGAAATTATGAATTTTTTTTATGGCTCTTTCTTCTACCAAGCTTTATGCCAATTCTTGTCCTTTCCTTTCTCAATTCTTGTTTCAATTCAATCAGATTTTATTCTCTTCAACATTTTAAAAGCTTCTTTGCAAGTATTCCACCATAATTGTGCTATTTCATAATTCCACAACTTATGTATGCTCCATAATCTTATGATTAAAGCTCATTTAAAACATGAGGACAGCATAATACTTTAAAGTTATAATATTTAATTTCATACTTGATATTGTTTACATTTTTACATTCAATGCAACAAGAGGATAACAATAACCACAAATGGATGTGAGAGGGAAAAACACATGCAGAAGAAAGTTACGAGTAAATAGTTGGTTTTCACTTGTGTGGTGATAATTAGCACATTAACGCTGTATAAGTGTCTAATCTAAAGCATAATTGTAAATTCTGCCACAACAATTATCAATTTAGCAAAATTTGCTATTTTGAAACATTTTAGAGAAACATGAAAGTATGAAACATTAAAACAAAAATGAGTCATGTCATCATATAATAATTATGGAAAGGTATGCAACAACTCACTTGCGAAGTAAAGGCAAATCTGGCTTTCCCCATGCAAAAGGCTCAATTGACTCATCAATTTGAGGAGAAATATAGGCATTTATAACTGAATCACTAGGAAATGATGGAGGAAAATGCCAGTTCTTGCTCACATTTCTCTGCAAGATAATTTATAACTATTAGAAGCATACCGGCTGGCAAGAAAAAAAAGAACAGGGCAAACAAACCTACATGTTTATCCATAAAGGTCAGTTTCTTTGCATCAGGAATAGTACTGCCAGATGATTGATCAACACCTAGAACACTGTCTTTGGAAGCAGAACACACAATATTGTTCTCCATTCCATCTGCAGCGTTGCCATTTGTATTTGAAGAACTTCTATTTAAATTAACAATGTACTGAGAACCATGTAAAATACCAAGATCAGGAGATTCAACCCATTCCTTAAATTTTATAAAGCCATCTTTCTCAGGAAATCCATTGATAACTTCGATGGCATTTACAATTCCTATACCACTGCAAAGTTAGATTTAGCCGATTTTAATAGCACTCTAACAACATGACATAGCTATCAAGATAAATTTCAACTAACATTTAATAATGACCGCAAAGAGATGATAGAGCAAACCTATTAATTGTTTATTTCCACAGTATAAGAAACACTTGACTACATTAAGGAACTAATGGTGCAACAGTAGTCTCAGCTTGAAATTAACCAGAAACTATCAAAAGAAAATTTCCTTCTATCTTAACCAATTCATTAATAATAAGAGATTATGACACTAACCATAGTCATAAGATTATGAAAGTTGTATCAAAACACGATAGAAAAGGCAAAATTACAATTACAAAGCTATTAAAGTTTAGTTTCATAGCACGCCGTAAGTCCACTATCAATGTGTGCATATGATTGGATCATCAGATATAAAAGGACCATCAAGGAGCGGAGGTCCAAGTATATAAGCAGCATTCTTCACAAAACTGCGATCACTCAAAAGATGACAATGAAAAAGAATATCTTAATGAAATTTACATGCTAATAGCAATTCTCTGTAAAAAATTTAAAATTTTAAATAACTGGTCAAATCATTCACTAAAAGTATAGCTCTCGAGAAATGTAAGTATGAAAATATTCATGAATGGACTTTCCCTCCTCATACTATAAACCAATTATTATAATAGCTGATTATAATTATGTTTAAATGGAAGCAATCAGTTCACTAGTTCCTCCATAATGTATCAAATACTGTGAGCCTGGTGAGTGTGGTGTCATTTTCGATCATAGACATCTCATGCTTCTTAAAAGATGGGCATGAATATAAACAAAAAACAGCTGGATTTAGTGATATCTTTATTGCCAAACCAAGTTGTATAACAATGTTTTGAATAATGCTAAATGAGGCGCACCTCAGTGAAATGTTCATTAAAAAAGTTCAAAAAAAATTTCCATAAGATGTTTGCCATACATCGACCTAAGAGGCGTACATCTTAAAAATGCTATGTGCCTCAACTCATGTCTTTGCACAATTTGCAAGAGGCGAGCCTAAAAAAAGGGGGCTTAGGTAACTATTTATAATTATTTTCAATGGAAACAATCAGTTCAAAAGTCACTATAAAGTTTATCAATATCAAGTTCCTGTTGTGTCACTTGTGATCCTGCACATCTCAGGCGATGTGCATGCTTATTAAGAAAAAGATTAAAATATGAACTAGAAAAAATTAGGTTTAACCATGTCCCCATTCGGCAAACAATGCTTAGATCCAACCTGTGTCAATATTGTTCACAATTAGGGAATATGCATGCGCCTCAACACAATTTTGAATTACAAAAATGGGCCATGAGCTGTCAACCTCACCGTGACCTAATGAAGCACATGCCTCACTAATGTTTAGGTCAGCCTCTCTGTGCAACTTGCAAAAGACGCGAGTCTCAAAAACTAGGGTTTACTTATGTTAAATTTTTTTCATTTATAAATTTAATATATAAAATAAATCATATTTGATCATTCCTATGCACTTAAAATCAGAAAATACAAGCCGTGAATAAGAACCACATGCTCATAGTCAGCCCCCAACCGCACCCTGCACTCACACCTGAAGTCGCTTGCACTCCCAACCACACATTGCCACTGCATCATTGCGTTGCTTTGCCTCGGACAACTAATAATGAGAAAGCAATTCACTATGATAATGATTCTAATAAAGCCTACTAAGTGAAAAAGTGGGGGAGACTTTCAAATTCATAGATTATAATATTAATGACTCAACTAATATAAATTGGGAGGGAGTATAATTAATTATTATGATCATATTTTGATACTAGCGTGTTGCTTATAGCTTGTTTTTTTTACTAAATTAGCAGTTTAGTTCTGAAACTGATGTCTTAAAATAACTTGAGACTCATATCTCTCATCACTGACAGAAAACATCACAAAACACGACAGCAATTTCAAAATTTGGTGTTTAAAACAAAATTTAGTGGATTGTATCACATAAATTACTCAAAATGATAAAGATGGATTTTTCTCCAACATAAACCTTTCATACTTTGGGATCACCTCCAACTTGAGTCTAGAAGGTAATTATGCTCTTTTAACACTTAGCTGTGACAGGCATCCTTGAAACTACACTCTAAAGGCTGCAGTTGTCTTATGAGTCAGCATAACGAATAAATCTAGAATTTTCAGAATACCACCCAGAAGCAAAAGAAAAGAAAATTCTATGCATTTCAAATAACTCAAACTTTAATCAGCCTTGTCCTGGAATGCAATCACAACTTAATACTATTGTTGAATCCAAATTTGTCCGGTGGACTGTGCTCAAGGCCAAAGAAAAGAGGTTATGAGAGAAAACAAAAAGGGAGAGAGAAGAAGAAGAGGAAGTCTTCACGTGAAGGGGGGAAAATGGGGTGTTCCCGGGGTCATGGACCCATTTTATTCCACAAAGCATTTGTGTTACAAGTGTGGGGATTCAAAGAGCCCCAAATACAATACACGACTCTCCTATTTATAGAAAATAGGAGAGGTAAAATATAAAAAATTACATATTTAGCATCGCTTTAAAGAGAAGAGCAAAGTGCATTATAGTCCATCTTATTCCGACCGTTGAATCATCTCAAGACCTGTGCAGATCATTTTTTAGTATACATATTAAATTTTTCAATTTTCTCGCTTCTTGATAGCGACAACTGCAACAAAGAAAAGAAAATTTATAAATCAAACAATCTTGAACACAATTTACTAATGATACTCCCCGATAAGTGTTTTTAGAACTTGGTTCTGGTATCTTTATTGTCATATGCTTGATTTGTCATACTGGAGTTTTTCTGTCGATGGAGTCTTTGGATTTCGATGGCCGGTCGGAGAAAAGGTCTGCCGTCGAAGGAGAAAATCAGCCATCAGCGGAAAAAATCAGCCGTCAGAATTCTGTTTGTTTGCCTGTCCTGAGAAAGAGTTCTAGAATTGCTCGTTCTGAAGTAGAGTCCTAGAGTTGTTCGCCCCGGAGTGAAGTCTTGTAGTTGTTCGCCCCAAAGTGGTGTCCTAGAGATGTCTGCCCAGGAGTGGAGTCCCAGAGTTCTACACCCCTCGTAGAGCTTATCACTGTCGAGCATTAGATTTATTTTTGTCGATGTTGAGTGTTTAGATCATTTGCACCCCTCGCGAAGCTTGTCGTTGCTAGGTATTAGGTTTTTTTTTTTTTTGGGTTGTCCTTGTCAGGGTTTAGAATTTTTTTTATGTCAGGTGTTAAGATTTTTTTGCACCCCTCACAGAGTTTGTCGCTGTTGGGTGTCAAGTCATCTCAGGACCCTCATTACCGATCAGTCGTCTATGTGTCGTTGTCGGTTTTACTACCCGAGGTCAAGTTTCCCAAATGTCAAGCAGCTAACTGTGTGCATGAATTTCTTGAGCTCGTCGAGTCTTGACCTTAAGGATTGTAGGTCGAATTTTTTGTATTTATGCTATTTCGAAATTGCGTAGAATAAACTTTGAGATATTTAAAATAAAAGCAACTTTAAATTTATAATGCAAAGAATAATCATTGCATCAACTTAAAACACTAAATATGAAAAAATTTCATTCAGAACTCTTATAGTACATCATGTATACATTTCAGTGTATATAAGTTTGTGTTTATATATTTGAAATAAAAAATAAGAAGTGGGTGGTGTGTATCTAAATCTTCTTTATTTTATTTTATTTTATTTTGAGGTGACTGGTTGTTGGTTGGTCGACCGGAGCAAAGGTGACCGATCGGTGAAGCAGTCGATCGACAGATAAAATTATATTTTTAGGTGTTAGATATCTAAAATAAAAGGATTGAGTGATGTGTGTAAATCTACCCAAATTGAAATGGCTGGTCGGAGGCAGATGACCTCCGACCGGAAGTTGGTGGTCTACCGGAAGCAACCAGAGCAGCGATCGGTCGGGTAGTGTTGTCGGTTGATAGATAGCCTGTCAATAGCCTGTCAGAGGATCACAAAATAATTTAGTGAAGTGGAAGTATAAAAATAAGCATTGAGTGGTATGTAGGTAAATTGGTATATAAGTGAAGTGTTAGGTGTGCAAATCTATGAATATTGAGTGGTAGGTGTGTAAATCTTCCATGTTTTAACATGTATTGCAAGACGGTTGGTTTGGACAAAATAAATCCGCAGATTTATAACTTTGGATTTCAAATCTCCATGATTTCGGATAAGAGCGAAGAGGTTGGATAAGTGCGGTGACCGGTCAGAGAGGGTGGCCGGCCAGAGTAAGGAGGTACCCGGCCGAAGGTGTAAAGGTGGCTGGACGTAAACTCTTTGTTCTTTGAATAGGCCGAACGAGAGTAGTAGCCAATCGAAGGTAGTTAGTCGGAAGTAAGCTACCGACCTCCGACTGCCGACCAAAGGATGCCTGTGCGACAGAGAGAGGAAGAGAGCTTTTCATGTGATAGACAGTCGGTGAAGAGATTGATTAGTTGATAATGGGAAGACTTGATGTCGCTCTTCTCCTCATCGTGATTATTGCCATTTTGTAAACCATATCACATTACTGAGAAGGAAGCCCTCGGTGAAGTTCTAAATGGAGATTGATTGCTTGATGTACCATTTAAGTTAAACTTCTGTGAGGACCAACAATCTAAGAATATTTTTGGGGAGGTATTGAAAAAGTTGAGAAGAATATGTTTGATCTGAGAGAGAACAAGTTAGCAATATAATGTAGTAGATGGTGAGAGATAAGAGGGTTAAATATTTATGTATTTGCATATTTCTAAGTTTATAAAAATGTATATGTATGAGTGTATAAGAATTGGGTGGTATATTTGTAAATCTTTTGTCTTTTAGGTGGTCAGTCGGAACAGTAAGGTGGTCGGCCAGATGTGACTCCCGGAGCAGCGGGTTGGAGGGTAGTCTGTTGGAGGTGCACAAAAGAATTGAGTGGTATGCATGAAAAACACATAAATATATAAGAGTCGAGCGGTATGTATATAAATCTTCCCTCTTTTGAGAAGGCATGTTGGAGGCTGATGGCTGGACGAACGGCAAGGTTGTCGGGTGCAGGTTGGTCGGTCAGGAAACGGACATCTGGATGCAGGGCATGGCAAAATTTGGAGTGGCCACAAAAAATAAATCACGGTAAGGATTGATCGGGCGGAGGTACAAGTTGGTCGGCGAGCAGTACAACGTCACCTTTCGGGAGACAGTAGGCGTAACAGAAGGAGAAAAAAAAATGGTTGGTGAGAGAGTTTTTGTTGAGCTCCAGCCTCTGGAGATTGGACATGGTGTCGATGGTCGGGGACATGATGTCGATGGTCGGCTCTATGCTTCTAACAGAAAATTTGATCCGAGGCAAAGCTCTCAAAGCCTGGGGGGATCGGTCGAGGAGATTGGCATTTCACCTTTGAAGTTATTGGCTTAGATTCAGTTGGTCAAGATTAATCAGATGAGTTGCAATTAAATTTGGTAATGGGCCAGAGAACTTGTTTTTGGAGAGATCAAGAAAGGTGAGAGTGGTGGAGTTAGTGATGAAGGTGGGGAATACTCCATCCATGGAGTTGAGTGCGAGAGATAGTTTGATGAGCAAAGGAATGGCCTCAAACTATGAGTAATCAGCACTGAGGAGGTAACTAGATCCGATGTCAAGATGACGAACTACACGAAGATGGCTCAAAGAAGGGGAAGTGGGTCTCGCACACAAGCACCATTGAATTCGATTTATGGGAGTCAGAAGCTGAGGATGATGAGGAAGGCGAGGACAAGGAGAGATTTGCTTCACCGAAATTGATTTTACTAGAGAGAATCCGGCAGCTTGATTCATCACCACTGGAGTGGGCATGGGACCATAGTTGGATTGAAGTCAAATAGAGAAGCGACGACGACGAGAAATAAATGAAGTGAATCCACTGATGTGTGAGTTCCTCTTGCGTTTTTTGCTAGGAGTGTCCATGTTACTTGTCTTCTTGTTGATAGCATGATCCATACTGCACCTGAAAAAATGTTGAATCCAAATATGTCTGGTAGACCGCGCCCAAGGAATAGAGCATTGGGCCAAAGAAAAGAGGTTGTGAGAGGAAAGAGAAAGGGAGAGAAGGAGAAGAGGAATACTTACCCCGATGAGGGGAAAATGGGTTGTTCCCATGCTCGTGGACCCATTTTATTTCATAAAATATTTGTGTTACAAGTGTGGGGATTCCAGAAGCCCCCAATACATTACATAGTTTTCCTATTTATAGAAGATAAGAGGGGCAAAATATAAAAAATTACATATTTAGCCTCATTTTAAAGAGACGAGATAATCTCAAGATCCGTGCATATCATTTTTGAGTATACAACTATACCTACTGATTGAATTTAAAATTCCAGAAAGTTGTTATAAATATGACTGGTCATTTACAATCCAAATTTCAACTGTGCACAAAAGAGCATGTATGCATATGTGTAATGTCTGAGCATCTGCCTGCACATGAACAGATCATGGTGAATCTAAATTTGAAATTTCCAAAATGCATATTGGCTGAAGCAGAACATAAATGATCTTAATCGGTTCAAGATAGTCAGCCTGAATATAAGGAACCTTTACCTTGGTTGAAACCAAAAAATACTTGCAAAGGTTCTCAATAAGGATTCAGCATTTACCTGACACCCTCAGTATAATCACTCCCTAGAAGCAATGCTAAGCGAATTAATTTTTCCCTGCTAAGGCCAAGCTCATTCTCAATGTCCTGCCACAACAAAAGAGAAAAGAAAAAGAAGTAACATAAAATAAAAGGTAAATCTTAGTAAAAATCTTTAGTAAGGATGATTTACTGTCATGAAAAACAAAATGGTAAAAACAATGTGAGCAAAACAGTGTAATATTCCTGATTACAATGAGAAATTATAGAACTAAAATGTCCTATCGCTTAAATTTTTGGAGTTCAGTTCTAAAGAGCCATAAGATTAACTGCACAAAGAAAAAAAGAAAAATAACTTCAATTAGATGAAATGTAAAGTCCCTTCAAGACCCATAAGTATACCTTCATAAAATATGTTTCTACATACTTGCGATCATCAAAAATGTTCTTGTATACATTCCGAGCTCCAAATAAGAATACATCAGAGTCATCTGTTACGATGCCATCAACAAGATTATTCATTTCCATATAAGCGCATTGTGCTTCTGCTTCCATAGGCGCAATTATATATGGCAAACCAAACATTTGAAGGAGTTCCTACAAAATAAAAAACAGTAAATTATCTTATTAGCTATCTACAAAATATTTAAGAAAATATTAAAAGATCGTAGCAAGTCAAACATCAATGTATATATATATATATATATATATATGTTACATCACATGGTCAATGTAAAAGTTCACCAATTTTAATAATTCAGTAGTGAAAAGTTTAACAATGACATACTTTTCTACATTTACAAAGAAATCAAAATGCCCAATAATATCATTTTTCAAATAGAAAGAGCTTTGTACACATCATTAAAAGATGATTTCCACTCCAAAGATACAAATTAGTTGCAGTTGCAGAAGTGTGGTAGAGGAAACATCCTATTTTAAAACGTTAAAAAGAAAGCATAGATGATTTACCATCGTAGAACATTTAAAAGCACAACTCTGAAGCGAAAAAACGTGATTGTATTCCAATTCCTTCTAAAGAATGGAAAAAACCATAAATAAAACAATATTTGAAGCAAATTATGAGAAACCTACAATTTGGGTACACAAATAGCCACAAACATGATCATCTGATTAAGTTAAAGAAACAAATAAACTTCATTTAGAAGTGGAAGCAATAAGACCATTCCAACTGGATAAGAGATCAGGTGAAAAAATTGAACTTCTAAAATAAAATGACAATATATTAACACCGAAAATTAGCAAAACTTCTATGCGCATCTCCATCATCATTAACGTGAATTCTAACACCACAAGACTACATTAGCAAGCCTATTTGGGAATATGAAAAGGTATTTTGAGTTAACCTGACATTCAGCAAACATCTCACTACTAACGGACTCTGCATTGCGTTCAAGTTTTCTCTGTTCATCTCCAAGGAATGCACGTTCCTGTTTAAGAAGTGAAATCTCATCATGCAAATTGGCTTCTGATTTTGCAATGTTATCTTCCTCTTGCATTGAAGTTTGGTCTCCAAAACTCAACCCTTCAGCAGAATCCTTGTAAACGTCATTGTCTGTCAATTGTTGCATTTTATCAATACTAGCAGCCATTTTCTCTGCTGAATTTATTCTAGAAAGGTCGATGCCAAGCATTGCAACAGAAGAAGAGGATTTGCTTGAACTTATTCCCAAAGTATTAGTTGAAGGGAAAGCCACAGAATTATTCAGAACATTGCCAAGACAAGTGTCAAGTCTGCTATATGGATTTTCAAAACCAATGCTAGGATAATTCTCGAGGACATGGTCATCAATTTTGCCCGACTTAGGCTCATCTGCAACCACTTTAGAAGCAATTTTGCATAGATTTCCATGTGATGACTGATTTATGCCTTGCTCCATAACCTGAATATCATGTGATAACCCTACATCACTGTTACAAACAGCTAAATTGCTTTTATAATCATTCCGAGTTGATTCTCCATCAAACCTGTCCACAGAAAGCGGAAATTTTGAAAAAATCTCATTGTGAGAAGAAATGAACTGATGGGCATTGCTCCTACCAAGGCACTCCCTTTCTTCGAGAAAATCCACAACACTTTGCAACTGATCCTTCTCAATTGGAGTTTCAATATTTGGACCATTTTTACCTGACATTAATAAACTTTGATCATCAATAGTTGCACTCATATTTGCCTCAACAAGAACCACAGATGAAGGCTGCTTCAATTTGACATCCTCAAGACTTCTTCTTATTGCTTCGTTCAGATCAGCTTCTTCTTCAAGGAATCCTAAAGAAACTGCCTTATCACTTTCCTCGAACTGATGGGCATTGCTCCTACCAAAGCACACCCTTTCTTCGAGAGAATCCACAACACTTTGCAACTGATCCTTCTTGATTGGAGTTTCAATGTTTGGATCATTTTTACCTGCCATTAGTGAACCTTGATCCTCAATAGTTTTACACATATTTGCCTCAACAAGAACCACAGATGAAGACTGCTTCAATTTGGCATCCTCAAGACTTCTTCTTATTGCTTCGTTCAGCTCAGCATCTTCTTCAAGGAATCCTAATGAAACTAACTTATCAGTTTCCTCTGAATGAGATAAAAGGGAAGCACTGTCCTCCCACAAAATTTCATCTTCTTCACAACCTTTACTTTCAACAAATGGCGATTGAGTATCATCATCACCTTTTAAGCTTAAGTTTTGTTCACCAACCATCCCAACCTCCCAAATGCATTCTGACTCAAAATTATCATTGTTTTTCTCCAAGGATATGTGTTCAGAAATTAATTCTGTTGTTGGAACTTCAGAAACCAGATTCATGAAATAGTTATCAATCATAGTTTTGGATCCAATTTCATCTTCTAAAAAGGATATCTCAATGGCAGCATCCTTTCCAAAAACTGTGGTTGATTTCCCAGCATTTCTGCTTATTTCTTCATATTTTTCCTCAGTAGCTGAGGATGCACTAGTGCAGTGGCTATTTTTCTCATTTATAAAAGAGGGTTTTCGAATGACGTCAGTTTGGGACTGACCTTTCGAAAAATCAGAAGCATCATTAGGGATTTTATTAAAATTCTTCTTAAAAGACACTTCCTCATGCTCTTTCATCAAATCCAAATTCCGTTTTAAATCCCGAGTCATATGAATACCAAGTCCCCTAACTCTACTAACTCGAACACGCCCCCTCTCATCCATGTATGTCTCAACATCCTGAGGCAAATCCCCTGTAACCACATCAAAACTCATGTCATCGGTGGGTTTTGATGGGCTCATAAATATTTTTCGCTTGGCTTTATCTGAACCAGTTGTCCTTATTTCTTGATTAATAACACTACCTTTTTTCTCAGCGCATGTCGGAGTCAGCAACCTGATTCAGAAAAATAATAAAATTAAAATTCATAGTTCAATTTGAGAACATAAATATGGGCCCAATCAAGTGACTTATAATTACACGCTGAAAGTAAAGTCCAACTAAAAGTCACAGAAAGCAATTAAAAAACAAGCCAAAACTCACAGGAAAATAACCACAAGAGTAGCAAATTTTATAAACCAATAATCTGGATTAGTAATAAGGAAAAAAACAAAGATAATTTTTCCTCACTGTTTATCACCGGTAAAAGATGAGGAAAATATGTATTCCCGATTAGCTTCAGAAGCAATCCTTGATGTTTGCAAACCTCCAAATCCCCTACCAGAAGCACATTTCTGAACTTCATCTATTTCTCGCCGAAAAGCAACAGTTTTAAGATATGACTGTATTTGTAGTTCAGAAAACTTTGCAGGAACCTGAAAATTGTAGTATTAAACAAATTCATTGTTGTTCTGAATAAATTCATTGCATCAGTGTTGGAAGGTGTCCTTTTTTACATGATCGTGAACTAAATTATGATGCACATTCCAAAAGGCACACAACAAATATATTTTACTTTGCATGGTTTGCTACTGTTTGAAATGCATCATGACAAACAAAGATACTAATAAGAACTAAGCCTCTAGAGCTTCATCGCATGCAATAACATTATAAGAAACTAAAAAAAAAAAAAAAAAAGAATTCATTTGTATAATACGTCACAGATATCAGACCATCATTCAAGAACCTAAACTAACAAAAATAAAGTGTTATTCCACATACCTTCTTAATTTTTTGATACTTTTGTCTGTTGTCAGCCATCAACCTCTCCCGCATCTTAAAAGTAGAAAATAATTAATATACATAAAGATAAAGTCAGAAAAAGTTTAATTTCAATCATAGGGCTTCAAAATTTCAAGCAAACCGGCCAAGGTCCATCAACAAATTACCTGATCTAGAAGGTCCAACTGGATGGAAGGTGGTAGAGCAGCCAACACAGCAGGATCAATGTTCCCACTATTTACATGCTGCACAATAAAATATTTAATATTAGCAATATAGGGTTCAATAGAGATAATCAAAACACAGACGCAATCCTATTTTTGGATATTTTCGAAACTAGCTCAGGGTAATTCAACTATTCTGCAAAAGAAAATCATCCATAAGAGAATGTAAAACTAGACATAAAAAAATATAATAGTATAAGAAAGACAACTTTTTGCTAGGATTTTTTTTTTTTATAATACACAATAATACACACACTGTCAATTAATAAGACAAACAAAATTGTAAAGGAAAAAAAAACAGTTCTACAGAAGGGACTGTTTTAATCACTAGCTTCAAGATGGAAAAAGCAATCATAAAATGACAGTGAAAAAAAGTTATAAATACAAGCTTTGCACAAAGTGATTTTAAACATAAAAATTCAATAAATTAATCCTATTGAGTATTGCATAGGACCACTAAGTTCAACGTGACTGAAGCATCAACAGCTTGAATGCTATCTAGTGTAGTTTTTGCTAATGATAGCCATAACTCTATAGCGTCCTGATCAAACAAGCTTATTATTTACTTTACAGCTGCATCTCAACTTTTTCACTATCAGATCCACACAAGTAGCAAGAATTAAAAGCTTAATTATTTTGTGTAAATGTGTGTAGCAAATTTTGAGAAAATTACCTAGTTACAATACCTAAACAACAAATGCAATATCTTGCAATCCTATTAAAGAATGGTAGAAGACTACAACTTAAAAGCACCTCATTGATTTCCAACCAATTTATTCACTATCAGATCCAGACAAACAAGTAATATTAGTGTGTCAAGAATTAAATATTGAAAGTCTGTTTGGGGCAGCTGCAACTTATCCAACTTATCCAGATAAGTAGTTTATCCTGATAAGCTACTGATCAGCAGCTTATCCGAATAAGCTGGCTGGTTGTTTGGGACAGCTGTTTGAAAACAACTGATTTGCAGATGTTTGTGGATAAATGATCATTCTGTCACTGTTAAGTAATGTTGTTTGTAGCAGAACTGTCTTGGCAATATATTCGATACTGTAGAAGCAAAAAACTAATACAGAACAGTAAAGGAAAAATATGAAACTGTCCTCAATATAAAAAGCAAAGCTACGCTCAACTGACACAATAGGTTAGAGCAAGAAATGTCAATGGTAGAAGAGGATGTAGCTAGAATTGGCCGAGTATATATAAAGCAAAGCTATACTCTACTAACAATTTATATAAGTGGAATCACAACAAGCCCAACTGAATAAAATGAAATCCCTTTTCTTGATCAATATTTTACTTTTTTTATTTTGCATATGTTCCTGTGATACCTAGCCAATGTATGTGCTTCAACCTCAAGCTTTGCTGATCATTAAGCCAATAAAGAACTTCAAAAATGAAGAAAAAAGATAACACAATAAAGAATAGTAAAATTAGAGTATACTGATTGATTTTGTTACCTTCTTTTTTTTTTTTTTGTTGAGATAATTTTTGTTGAGATAATGAAACTGAGTTTAATCAATGCCGCAATAAATGCCTTGTTGATCTTAGAAACCAACAGATCGAAGCATAGAGAGCCGATCATTAAGCCTTTTGCGCCTTCGCCTCTCCGCTATTAGATCGAAGCATGCCCTCTATCTTCTTCTTCCTCCGCTCCGACTCGACTGCCAGAGCAGCAATCACCACCGCAGAAGCGGTCAACTCCACTTTGCAAAACATTTCAGGAGAAATCTCCGGCAAAATATCTAGAGGAAAAGCGGAATAATAAGCGCACATCCCACCGCCGGCAAGCATTTGACAATAAGCGTCGGTATTGAAGCAGTCGAGTGGTGGGTAGATGGAAGGAGCATCGGAGAAGCAATCGAAGGGCGGGATTTGATTGGCATCGACAGAAGCAAGTATGGCGTGAGAAGAAGCGTCGACGACTTGCAAACTCTTCTTCTGCTTCGCAAGCCGCTGGTTCCGCCAATGCCTTGCCCTAGAAAGCATCTGTCACGTACCCTTATCCTTCTTTACAAGACGCATATCCAGTGGCCCTTCGGTCCAGATAAAAGAAACCGCATCTGGGAGAGGCAAGAGAAAGGTGCACAAGAGAAATTGAACCCTCAAACACAATGGGAAGATGCCGGTCACGGGGTCGATCCCGTGGCTTGCGTCAAATACAAAGATAAAACTGAGTTTTCAAATACGCCAAAGGAACGTGCTAATCAAACATTTGGCCGGCGTTTTCAAAACACAAAACGCAGTTTTAAGCTACATGAAATGGACCTTAAGTCATTCGTGTCAATGACTACATAAAATTTTAAGACAATCACCTAGTTACAATACTTAACCAAAAGAGGTGCAGCACTTTGCAATCAAATTAAAGTATGGTACAAGTAATACAACTTACAAGCACCTCCTTGATTTTCAGGCTTTTCTGTGTGTGCAGTGAACAGGGGACTGGCATTTAGGGGAGATCGGGTACCAGAGAACTAGAGCTATATTGAACGACTTCAAGAAAAAAACTACATAGTAAAAGACAAGAAACCTATTTTGGCTGGTACCTTGTTTTCATTTGCTTTCTTTCCCTTCGGTGTGTGTGTGTGTGAAGTTAAAAATTGACCCAATACTTTCACTAATTTCAGCTTGATAGAAATAAAAAAACCAAACAAGTTCAAATTGAAATCAACTGAAAATACACTATAGTTAGGTCTGGTTTGGCTCAAAAACAGACCTAATAGCTTTACATTGATATTGAGGTGGGTCAGATCAGCTCATGATTAGATTGTTCAGAGCCATACATACATGTTGTATTTCAATTTCAGTTTATTAAAGATCAAGTTCATTAAGCATACGTACAAGAAGGCATCAACAGATGAAATGTTTACTGAGAAAGCAACTGAAAACATCAATTAAAAAAAATATATTCACAAAAGAAATAACACAAGTTGCTATAGTCATAACACCTTCTTCCAAAAAAAATCCAGGTAAAACAAAGTCATTAATTGCCAAGATGGCCTACAAAGGAAGCAAAGCCCTACATACATTCTGTTTTTCAATTTTAGTTTATTAAAGATCAAGTTCATTGAGCATGCGTACAAGAAAAGCATCAACAGATGAAATGTTTACTAAGAAACCAACTAAAAACAACTATATATATTCCCAAAAGAAATAACACGAGTTTATATAGTCATAACATAACACCTTCTTCCAAGCAATATCCAGGTAAAACAAAGTCATTAATTGCCAATATGTCCTACAAAGGAAGCCAGCCCAACAGATATCTTAAAAATCAGAAATCTTAAAAACATTTGACAAATGCAGTCGAAATAATTATAATATCTCAGATAATAACTAGTAGCCCCTAAGGTGTTTTTGGGTAGAGAAATTTTAATGGGATTCATCAACAGATTTATTGTAAATCCAGCCAAACGTGAAAATGTGTGAAGTTAAATCTGACACGCGTGCAGATCCAGATTTGGTTCTGTTTGGAAGTAAATACGGGATTTACAAATTCGTTGGTCCAGCGGATTTAATGGATTTAAGGAATAAGGGAAGAAGATTCCTGCAGTGCCCGTTCACTAGTTCTGTCGCCATCCATGCCAAGAAGCCCTATTTAGAAGACCAATTTCATTCACAATTTCCTCACACAGAGCTCTATTTGTCTACAGACCATCCTGTTGTGCAGAACTATGTCGCACTGTCCTCAATTCGATGCAGAACAGAAGGTTAGAACAAACGTCCTTCTAGTTTCTGCTTTCTTTTACTTGCACTGATTCTCTATTCTAATTTATTTTACTTCAATTGATTTATTTATTTATTTATTTTGCTTGAAGTTAAGTTCACCCAAGGTTCAATTAGTTAAAAACAAACCCACCATATGAAAAGTGGAATTTAAACTGAAGTGTGAATAACTTCTGCGGTCGCTTGGCTGTAAGAAGGATTTAGAAACAATGGTGGACATATATTTATTAAATTTTGAAAGTGTTGAATCCTAAAAATAGCTTTGCATGATAGATGTTAAACTTGGTTAAATTCTTGTAAATTATTTGTCATACTTCCCTTGGAGTTATTACATAAAGAATTCAAAATTTAAATGAAGGAGAAGAAGCAAGATAGTAAGGAGCGGTGTAAACTATTGAATCATACTTCCTGGTAAGCAACTTAGCTTGCAATGGGATTGAAAAAGGGTTGTAAATGATAGAATGATTTATGTGGCTTAAAAAATAGTTTGGCGAGATTTAGACTAAATGTTGTTTAATCGTGGCCAAGTCAAGCAGCTTAACAACCCTTAGGTTTGCTCATTCTTAAATTAATGGTATTGCTTCATATTAATTCAAGTATAGACAAAATTTTTTCACTTAAGTTTTTCTCAGCCAAACAAGCAAGTGAATTGATTTCAACTCAATCGTTGTTTTACTATTTTAACCTTTAATTTAGTCTCTTTCAATTTCATCAGGCCAACACAACCAATTTGAAGTAATTGCCTGGGTCTCAGACGCAGCAAGGATGCTAGGAGTGATTGTTGAAGACCTTTCATAAATCTACAAGCAGGTAGCTAGAAAATTAGTTTATATATATATATATATATATAGGTGCCTAGATCTTGCAGCCGTGAGAGTTTCAGTTATATATATATATATATATATTGGTGCCTAGATCTTGCAGCCGTTAGCATTTCAGCAAATTTTTACCGATTGTCAACTCAATAGATGACCTCCTAAAATTTTATTGTTAATGCTTATAAAGCGTATAAGAAAAAAGTGGCAACCTACCTGAAGGACCAAAAAATAACTTGAATTGGTAGGCAAGTACTGCATTGCCATTAAATTAAATGCACATTATATATTCTTATGCGAATCCTAATGTCTTTTGACGTCTGCAATGAGTTAAAGTTTACTATTTGGCTTATTAGATGGAAAGACTGTTCTCTTAAAACATTAAGAAAAAAAGTGTTACACCTTCAAGCATGAAAATGAAAGATCATAAGGAAACAGAACAGCAGTACTTTGGCATTAAAGAGAAACAAAACAAGAATATAAATGATGAAAGAAGAGCTGGAGGCAGCATTTTCTGAGCAAAAGCCTTGCTGTAATTTGATAGTGAGCTGCATTTGAAGCTTTATATTCATTCAATGTTTAATCAATTTATAGAATATTTATTACTAAGTTTCTAGCTTAGTTTGCAACATTCATATCATCAATTTTACTTAGAAGTAGAAGAGTTTCAGGCAACTTTAAAGTTACATTTGAATTTTTATCATCAATATTTGATATTTAAATCCCATTTAAACCAACAGATATTTTATTTTTTATATTTTTATATATAAATTAACAGATTTAAATCCTTAAATAAGTTGTCAAACAGTTCAATCGGATTTAATTGGACTTAACTTTAATTGTACTGAACAGTTTTTAGGAATTAACAGCATATGGATTTGATAAATCCGGATTTACAGGATTTACTAAATCCTATTTAAGTTGAATCAGGACTTGCAGCCAAACAGCCCCTAAAAAAGAAATTATATGAACTTACAAAAATCATCTCTTCTTCATCATCCTTTTCACCGTCCTCTTCATAATTAACATCCTCGGTAGGCACTGGTTCATTGCCCGCCAGCTTTGCTTCTTCCTCCGCAGAAATTGATGCGGCTAGCCTGCAGCGATGATAGTTGATTATTGAACCACAATATGATGGGGGAAGAGTAGCTTCAGAAAAAAAGATTTACACCATAAACTAAACCTTACAGCTCATCGAGCCTTTCTTGGTTACTAGCTCTATCAAAACCCTGTCTGCTTTGTCCAGAACAGCTATCTTTTCCCGAGCAAGTACTACCATTATCCACTGAATCGACTTGCTCGCCCTTCAAATTGTCCTTCACCTCGGACTTGCTTCTCTTAATTCCCTCAGCCAATTCTTCAAGCCTTTTTGATTTGAGCTGCACAAATGCAACGAGAAAACATAAGACGGAAAAACAAATTAAAAAAGGAATTGTGAAAAATACAAAGAGAGAAACGAACATGATTGAGTAGCAGTTTCTCAGCGGTCTTACGGATCTTGGCGCGAGCGTTCTCACGGTGTCGGCGTCTTGCGGCGACTGTGCGTCTTTTCAGTGCGGGAGTACCACCATCGAAGACGAAGACGGGTTTCGTGCGGAGGAAGAGGAGTTTGCATATGCGGCGAAAGAAGCCGAGAATATGGGCGTTGCGGACCATTTCACCTCGCTCGTCCCGAATCGCCTTCATGAACTGAATCATCCATATGCTGGCATCTGCGAAAAAAGGGCCCAAGATGCAGCAAAACATCTATTTCCATGATTGGGAATGGAGGACATGATAGATTGGGAGAGTACCGATTGCAAGCTTTTTCCCGGTTAGGGTTTCGACGGAAACGCGACGCCCTACCGGGGCCAGAAGCTCCCAGAGTCCATGCACTCCCATTCAGCTATTCTCCTTCCTCTTCCTGTAGCTCTCGATCGCTCACTGATTTCTCCAAAGGGCCGCGCGAAAATTTTGGTTTTTATAGTAAATCTTCAAGGGGCTTTCTCGCAATCGATAAGGTCTATCTTTGTTAGCATTTAATAAATTTTGAAGATGTTAAATCTGAGAATTTGTCCGATTATAAATTTATTAAATTCTATAAATTTTGTAAAATTATTTGACAACTTCTATCACAATTTAAGACTGTTATAGCGTGAAAAAAAAAAACAAAAGAAGTTACGAACAAATTCTTATCCTTGGAGTTTATATACACAGATTTGTAAAATTTAATAAATCTCAGACTTACGGCAAACATCGGTGAATTCTGGATTTAACAAATTTAGGACTTTATTTTGTCTAAAATGACCATTTGATAATATTTAATTTACATCTCGCTTAAATTCTGAGATAAATTTGCTGCCAGAAAGCCCCTTGTTGTCAGAAAGCCTCTAAAGCAGTAGCTGAGACTTAAGTTAATATAATTTATAAAATCCATTAAATTTTGGATTTTCATTTATTAAATTCATAAATTTGCGGGATAGGGTAAATTCTTAGATTTCGTTTGAGTGTGTGTTTAACTTCCATGTCATTCACCTGGACGTGCACGTGTTGTTCACTCGAAGGAAGCGGATGTTCATCGGAGTTCGCTCGTAGAGATGGCATTATTTCGCTGGTTTGAATTGTGTACCCCTTGCTTCGGTTCTGTAAACATCATGTTTAAAGGAGCTTCACTGAATATGAATCTTCTTCAAACAGAGCCATGTAGTTGTAGAAAAATTAGTTTCATAAATTGCTATTGAAAATCTATTGTTCAGAAGCTGGTGTTTAAAAAACAGTTAGTATTAGAGATGGCATTATTTCGCTGGTTTGAATTGTGTACCCCTTGCTTCGGTTCTGTAAACATCATGTTTAAAGGAGCTTCACTGAATGTGAAGCTTCTTCAAACAGAGCCCTGTAGTTGTAGAAAAATTAGTTTCAGAAATTGCCATTGAAAATCTGTTGTTCAGAAGCTGGTGTTTAAAAAACAGTTAGTATGTTTGAAAAAGATAGTGGTGTATTGACATAATGGATATAATGCTCCTAAGCATATAAATACAATTCAGTTTAAACCGTTTAGAAAACACTATTCTGAAAGTGCTTTCTGCGAAAAAAAAATTTACCGACAATTTATCAAATTACTTTCACTCACAACAAAAAAATAGAATAAATAAAAGCATACATTAACAGGAATCATCAAATTATGTCTTCCAACGGCAACACAATCAAAAGAAATTATGATAGATCAAATGGTCCAAAAAAAAATCAAGTTTTCTTACAAATAAAAGCATAACGCAGTGCAGTTTTCTCTCCAGAAGACATGTACATAATTAAAATAGATGCAACGCTAATAACAATAAAAACTATGTTACAATCACAAAATCAAATAGAAGTAAAGTCTTCACCAAGTTTTCTTACAAATAAAAGTACAATCACAAAATCAAATAGAAGTAAAGTCTTCACAAGGAAATTCAAGTCTTTAACATCATTTTTAACTGTATCATCAAGTGCATATATCCTTTCATCAGCTTGCTCCTGTGGTTTGTCTCTCAGCTCATCAACCAATTGGAAAAATTTACAATTCTTGTTAAATTCTTTGGATATTTATAGAATTTTCGTCCTGCATTGTCCTCTTTCTGAGCAGTAAAAATGAAGCATAATAGATTGCAATCACAAAAAACCACTCGATGTTTGTCCCCCTTGGCACTTGTTGAATTGCTTGAGCTCTCTTTGAGTTGTTCAATCTTGTACAATAAAGATTAGAGAAAAAATAATGAATTTCATTGCATATACAAAAAAAGAATTGGACCCTTAATGCAGGGGTTCTTGATTGTCAAAAACCCTTTAGACCAAATTGGTGTATCCATAAATACACATAAAAATGGCAATAGAAGAGCCCTTTGAGTCAAATGACTAATCATAACGCTTGTGAAACCCAAAAAAAAATCCAACAAACGAATATATAAACAAAAATCAAAGATAACCACCAAATAAGCAATGAACAAAATACAACAAAAACAAGGCGACAACAACAAAGAAGCATAAGAAGAATCTCCAAAAACAAAAAGAAATTGGGCTCAACATTGACCTGATGAAAAAGACATTAAATACCTTCCAAATACAGTAAATATTTTAACACAAAAAACATTTACAAGTATGGTTGAGTTTTAATGAATGGCTGAAGAACAACATAGCTCAACTGACAACCCAGTAAAAAGGGAAAGATCGGTAGAAATCTAAACTAATCAGCAAGTCTGAATTAACATGGCAAGCAGTTGTTATAGAGCGCTAAAAAAAAATTTCATACATCCTTAGAAAAATAATGCATAAAAAAACTTTAATTTTATCCCAAAAGATGCTTATGATCAATATGCCCGAGTTTAAATTAATATCTCAAAAGATGAAATCATAAGGAAATGCTTCAAAACATCTATTTATAGTTTATTTTTCTCAATTTCAAGTTGAGTATGACCCATTCCCAACTCTGACAGGTATCAGAAGACAAAAAAAAAGCTACCCATGAAGCAACTCAAATCCAAAGTTATCATTTCTCGATGTGTCAAGCAACAAACAACAATTGCAAGAACCTCTAAAAAATTCATATACAAAGGTAAGTAACACCCCAATACTGAGCCATATATAAGGTCAGATGCAATTAACCATAAGTTCAATAGCCCAAAGTTGGCATACAAGAATAACAAAACCAAGTCATGTCATCTCATCTAAAATATCAAGCACTGAAAAAGCATGTACATTGTTTTGTTCATATTTTTACCAAGCATCAATTACAAAAAAACATCAAAGAATGTCGCAGCTACCTCGTGTATGCCTCAAAGATCACTAAAAGAAATATGGATCAATTTTTTATCTCGCAGTCAAATCTGATAGGAATCAAAATGCACATACTTAAAAGCAGGAATCAAATCTGACATGCATTCATGTGTTTACTTTAATGTGAAGTAAGGTTAGATCATCACAAATACCAAAGCAAATATCATATCCAATGCTTTTTTTTCAAAAAACCAATGCCTTTTTTCATAAATCATAGCTGTTAATCCCTCTCAATAAAGCAATGTCAAGCCTGCATTAGTTCTCAACTACCATCCTAGCATTTTAAAGGTTTGCAAATATGGAGATGTGTTGAAAGATGGTAAATGTTTTAGCCACATCTGTTTTGGACGTGGTCACACCCACCATGGGAAGTGTCGCAACCAATCTAGCTTGGGCCTGGCCATTCCTGTTTCTGGCATGGTCACGTCAAAAGCATGGTGCGGCCACATCCATTTCATGCATGGTCACACAAGGTCCTTGCATTCCCTATTTTCTAGAATGCTGATCGAGGAGGGTTTGGGGCTCTTTGGGGCCACAAGAGCATCCAAGTAGACAAATTATGATTTTTAAACAATTAAACGTGCATCAAACTTCTCCCATATCAGAAATATCACCACTCAATAGTAAGGTTTTGTATGGGCTAAATCGGTATCAATCTTAATTCTGTGCTCAAAAGATTTACCGGGAGGTCCTAACAGATGTCTTGGACTATGGAAAGTTGAACACAGTTCTGTGATATTTGAGTGGACATCCCACACATATGACATTAAAAATTGATATCAAAAATGTCTTTTATTTCATGTTTATACTTTTAGATCACTTGGTGAGATATGTAGAAAACTGTTGAAGTATTGTCACTACTTAGGAGTAGTGTCAACATATATAGTTTTATAGTATTAGCACATTCCTTGCACTTTTCAGAGGATCAAAGGGAATGGTGCCAAAAGTGCCACATTTTTGCATTGTGGTGTTAACCTCTTTGTATTCAAATCAAAGGGGACACACTATAGTTGCACCTTTGTGACATTACGTTGACATCCCTTTGATCTGACTACTGCATTTGTTTGCACTTTAAATTTCCATATATATTCATTTTTGGAGTTTTTCTAACTTGCCTTATGGTTGTCATTTCACATATATTATGTTTCATTCCTAATATGCATTTGTTAAATGTTATATGATATGTCATCCTGTACCAGAAGTTATAATGGTTGGCACCTTCGTGCTTTCTTAGTATCGCAGCGGCACTGACTTTGTTCCTTTCAAGGATAGAAGATAGGTACACCAGGAGATGATCTTGTGGTGTTACCTTTCTAATTTAGGGTTGTATTTTTTATGTGTTGTATGATCCATTATATGTTTGAAATTGAGTCTACAATTGTTGCATTCATCATTTTTATTATGCATTTCTTGCATCATGATGCCTTCACTACATTGTTAATAACATAATGAACAAATTATACATGCTTTTAGGGCTTAGTTTTTCATGAACTTGATTTGCATATTATATAGTTATATATCATAAATTTCTATGCACTCAGTGTTTTACTTTGTCCAAGTGAAACACCCATATTCCTTCTATAGGCCTAGGTTGCATGAGCTAGCACATTAGTGGCTAGGCTTTATCTACCCTTAGGTTGACCTATGGTTGTTGTAGAAAAATGAGCATTGCATGTTGGTCTATTTAGTTGGGCAATTCAAATTATCCTCTAACTTTCAGATTTTGTAGAATCATTCCAAGTATAATCATGTGTGAACATTTGTCATTTATTGTGATGAATGCTAGCTCATTCATATGCTCGAGATTAGGCTAACTTGGAGACCCTTTCAAGATTATACAGGAGAACCCTCAGCCCTTGCACTACACAATTATCACTTAGATGTACATGTTGGTAACACCCTGTAGATGTTTTCTTAAAACTAATGTTAGGGTGTCGCTACAATTTTTGTTTGCATGGCTATTGTCTAACGTGTTTGCTAAACACTGCATGTTGCTTGATGTTTTATGCGTTCATCGAGTTTAAGACTTGTGCACCAGCATATCTAGGGTTTTCTTCTTGTAGGGAGTTAGTATAAAATTGAGGAGCTAATTAATGATCAAGCTAAAGAGTTTTCTAGAGGTTTTGTTAAGCTCTCCCACCAGACATGATTAATTTTGCATTGCGTGAAATAAT